AAATGCATCACAGCTATGCCACAGCACCTGCTCATTTTGGCTAATCCAGTGCTGAAAACACTGGGGTGTTGTTTGGTGGCTGGGGGGTTTTTTTGGGTGTTGGGTTTTTGGGGTTTTTTTTGGTGGGTAGGGGTTTTTTTTACAGGTATAAACATGTGTCCTCTGAGTAACATCAGAAACAAAGGGCCTGCCAACTAACCACTCTTTTATAGTGCCTCAGAACATTGGATCTCCTTGACAGCATGTGCTTCAGCTAAAAAGCATTTTCTTTATTAGTGAACAGCAACTGTTTTCATACTTCATACCATCCACTAAAGTTAAACATCATTCATGTGCTGCCACAGAAGCTTCTTTTTGTCTGCAACTGCTAGATATAACCCAGAGACAGAAATACTGTAGAATGAAATCCCATCACACAATACTCTTATTGCCCATGGCAGCCTGATGTACCTCTGACTTTTTCAGCAGATGCCACAAGAAATACCCTAAATTCAGTTGTCTCAGTTTCTTCCCAGTCTTCTGCTTCTTTTCTACTCAGGAAGCCTGGTAGAAGCTGGATTTTGGATTTTTGTGTGTGTGTTTTGTTTGTTGGTTTGTTTTGTGTTTTGGGGTTTGTTTGGTTGTTTAAGTTGCACCAGTGAAGCACACTGACAAAGCTGCTATATGCCTTGTGTACTGCCCCTAAAAATACTGTCCTATTCCATAGCCCCCAAAGGGCTGATGAGCTGTTCATTACCTTGTTCAATCAAATATATTTCTCAAGCTCCTAACCACTTGTGAGCAAGTAAATACTGGAATTTCTGGAAATTACACCTACAAATATTATTCTCCTTTAAGTCATCCATTTGTCGCCTTGCCAGAAGCATGCAACTCATTTCACCATGTTCTTTGAGTCAGAGGCTTATCAATGCATTAGGTTCTTTCCACCCTTGCTAGGGAGACAAAAGAACAATCAAGGACCTCAATTGTCAGTTAAGGAGAGCATTTTTCTTATTCTTCAGATTCATGACAGCTCTTAAGTGGACTAAAATCTGATGCTTTTCAGTAGTCAGTTTCCCTTTTCCAAGCAGAAAGTTTACATTTGCATTCACTACCATCGGGGCAACAGCTCTTTATTACAAATTTTCTCATCACCTTATTTGAAATTCAAGCCACAGCTCTTTCCCTTTACATCAAATAATGTAATGGTATACTCAAAGCCCCAAAATACAAGAAGCTGAACAGAGGAAAAACACGGGTGGCAAAACTGACAAATACAGTCGCAGGACACCAGTGACGCCTAGGGGCTACTGAGGTGGGAGACGCTCTCTCTGACAAAGACTGTTCCTAACAGTTCCCCACTGTAAAGCAAGCCATTATCTTTGAGTGGTGACAGAAGGTACATCACCAATGAGGAGTACATGAATACCCGAAGCCACATTTAGCTCGTACTCTTATTACACTTACAATTCCAAAAAAAATTACCAGAAGCAGAAATAATTGTGAAACATTACCTGGTAATTTACCGCATCAGCAGCACTTCATTTGTCCCAGTGTTATAGATCAATTATCAAAACTTACATCCAAATGCTACCATCACACCTTCTCTACTGAATTGCACAGATACCCTGCATGACACTCAGATTTGTAGTTCTGTAAACTGCTTCATCAATACATCTCTCCTCTGCATGTTTAGCTAAGTAAGGAATCAAGGTGCCACTACGACAAAAGTGTTTTCAGACTTCACGTACACAGAACTGCTCATGTACTTAGGGTCAATTCAGAAGACTTCAAAGGGACCTGGACGATGTGCTGAGCAAGCACACTTTAAAATGCATGTCTTAGCAACAGAGTGCACAGCACTACAGTTCTACCCTTGGTGTGAAGGCAATTAACCTGCATGGTAAACTGTTTTGCAGTACAGAAACATCTTGATTTTGCAGCTCAAAAATATCTGGGTCCCTCATGACCAAAGTAGGGTTTGCACTAGCTTGTACTGTTTTAAAAGCCCACAAACCTCTCAAAACAGAGTAATGGAAAAAAAGACCTCATGAAGGTCTCATAACTTGAGTACCTCCTAAACTGGCGAGGCAGTCCAAAGCAGCATCCCACACCCACTGAACTACATCACTGCTCAAAGAAGACAAGCCTCCCCACTTTCTCCACTCAGAGTATAAAACAAGAACATTAATAAGAAAGTACGCTAGCTTGACGAGTTTCAGTAATCTTCAGAAGACATGACAGTTCACAACACAACAGAAAACTAATAATCACTGTACAAAGCAAATTCAAGGGGCATAACTAAAATTCTATAAGCTACCAGGATAAAACCACAGAGGGCTGCAGGAGAAAAGGTGTCCATAGCTGACGTTAAACAAAGCAAAAAGGACAACATGTTTTCTGGTG